TTTTCTTTTGCAGCATCTGTTCTTCCCACTACCTTCCTTAATCTGCTCATGGTGCTGAATTGGCCCAGCCTAGACAGTGGTGAGTGGGTCTGAGTTGGTCTCTGGTGCTTTCTGGATGCTTCCTACCATCTAGTGACTCAGCTGAGAAGAGCCTATGTCTGGGCTATATGGATACAGACACAAAAAGTTTTATAAAATCCAAATTGTTCCTTTGACTTCAGTGACAATTCAGCCTCTCTGACTGTGATTACTTTTGGGTGATTATAAACATAAAATATCAACATAAAATGTTATAGAGCCAAGAGGGGGCTGTTGGAAGCTAGGAAGATCCCACAGCTAGGAAGTTGATGTTGGAAAGCATCTAAGAAAGTCCCTTAAATGTGGGGCTGAAACAGACGGTGAACCTCTTGTCAGGAGGAGTTGTGCCTTCTTCACTGTTCTGTAGGTTCTTTTTGTGAGAGGTGGCTTGGAACAGCAACTTACTAGGGCAGAGAAAGGCCATCTTTCTTTGATTCCATAAACTCGCCAGCTGCCCAGTGTCCTGGGAATGTGGGCAGCGAGGAGCCTTGTCACATGGGATCTGGTCTCGTGAGTGCTCAGCTGTACAACCTGCCGGATCTGCAGGCTTATTTGCTTCTGAAGCAGATGGAAGCCTCAGAGCATATGAAAGCAAGGACCTGTGAACCGACTTTACTCTCTTCTGTGTGCTTCAAGGCAGTCGTTGTAAATGTGTGAGCTGTTCAAGTTCACATCAAGGCCATATTCAGTTGTTGACCTGATTGATGTACCTGTGAGTGGATTTAGACAGCCTGCTGTTGGCACCGGAAGGTGATGTATCGAGACCATTTTAAACAGGCAGCAAACCAGTAGCCCTTCAGCAACTTTCCTTTAAAAAAAACCAACCCAATTTCTTAGGCTCACTCTGACCTTGATCCTAGAGAGCAAGTCAGAAACTCAAAGAGAACTATGTACAATTAGGAGAAAAATACTAGTATCAATTAACAGTTTCTACTGGTCACACAATACGAGACCTCAGAGGTCCTCATGCTCAGAATTCGGGATGAACACACAGGTAGATGATTTACTTCCTGTGGAGACAGAAGGACCTGAACTTGAGGGAGCTCACATGAGAAATACTTTAATAAAGACACTAAACAGACATTGTTATCACCAGCTCACTGGTGGTAGAGAAAAAAACATCTTTTCTGAGTTTTGTTGTTTGATCTTTCTATTTTAATTACTAGCACAAAGTACAGAGGGGAAAGAATCTTTGGGAATGAAAGTCTGGGTGATACCTTAAAAATGAGAACTCTGACAGGCTGGCATCTGTTTTCTTTTATTGATTTCAAAACTTTGGCTACAGATACCATTAATGTACACAGAGAATTTTAGTTTTCATTTGCATCTTTGTTGAGCCAGTTAATTTTTGATCATTTAATTAATAAATAGCATGTTTCATGAAATTGTACCAAATCACTGCTGTACTTTCTTACTCATTTTGGGGGTACTTTTCATATTATCACTGTTTATATAAAAAATTTACATTGTAGCCTTAGTTATGTAGAATACAGAGCACAAATGTTTATCGCTCCCTGTGTGTGCATGTGTGTGTGTGCGCGTGCGTGTGTGTGTGTGTGTGTGTGTGTGTGTGTGTGTGTGTAAGAAATAATCTCGTTGGTGGGGAAAATACTTACAGACAGAATTATTTTGATTAATTTTGCCCCTTCATATTAATTTGAAAAAGAACTATCTTTCTACATATTGGTGGAACTAAAGTTATGGTTCAACAGAAAGATGTTTAAATACAAATTAAAATATGCCTAAAACCTTATTCCAAAGTAGGTTTTTCCATTTTTAAATCTTGAATGAAAAGCAAACAGCAATTGTTCTCTTGTCTTTCAGAGAAAACTTTCTCTCCCCACAACTATTGTCCTGTCCTAGTTTTTGGCCACTAGTATACCTTGTAATACATAGTTTGCTTTCATAACCTAGAATGTCCCTTTAAATTGTACTGTTTACTTTAGAGTATATTATTTTATCAGTTTTAAACTTTGGGGGAAAAGTACTTCTTAGCCTTACTTTAATTAGTGTTAATGATGGCATTAAATTGATCTCAATAATGTTCAAGCTTTTACTTACTATTTTTGAAATCAAGAATTGAATAACTTGCTCCTTATTTTATATATTACTAATAACTGTGTTTATTTTATTAGTAATGGTTTTTTTATAAGCACCATGGAGGCCTCATTTTAGTCCCTATCTGATAGTTCTCCAGTGGAGACCAGATTGGAAACATAGGTTGCAACAGGTTTTGCAAACTGTGGTGAGAATTTTGGACCTTTCCAAATATCTAAGGGAGATCCCATGAATGACCAGGAGCAGAAAAGGGGGTTATGGCAGAGAAAAGCGTCAGCAGGAAGACCTGCTATGGTCAGAGTCGTCCACCAAGGAATAATTAAAGCCTCAATTAGGGCAGTAGCTATGTAATTGGACAAAATGGACAGAAGGAGAATTGTAACGCAGGAAGACTTCATAAGACTTGCTGTGGTTTTGGGCTTTGACAGCCCATGTTCCCGTCCCCAGTAGACACGAAAGCGTGCATTATTAAGGGCAAGATTAGAAAGTCCTTTTCTTTAAGTCCCTTTCAACTACTGCATTATGCTTTCACGATGATACGTGGAATTCTAAAGTGTGATTTATGTTGTGCCAACTTATAGTTTTGTTTTTCAAATGTCTGTATTTTCTGCAGTTCAATATGATAACTACAGTACAGGAGCTTGAGGGCAGCCCTGTAGATTAGCTTTATAAGGAATGGCCAGGCAGTAGTTGTTAATTAAGGAAGAAAATATATTTGTGTAAATGAACAGGAATTGGAGAAAGAAAGAACTCATCTCATGGAAGATGTAACTGCAAACAAAAGGAGGATGAAAGAGCTGGAAGATAATTTGCTTTACCGTCTGACGAGTACCCAGGGGTCCCTGGTGGAAGAGGAGGGTCTCATCGTTGTGCTGAGTAACACAAAAAAGACAGCCGAGGAGGTGACACAGAAGCTGGAAATTTCTGCCGAGACGGAAATTCAAATTAACTCAGCCCGGGAGGAATATAGGCCTGGTGAGTCTGGTAATGAAAGACAAATGTCACAGGAAAATGAAGCACGAAAGGATGAGAATTAGAGGAACTGAAGGAAGTGAGGACATCATGCAAGTAATTGTGCAAAGTGAGGTGGCTATTTTTGTGTTGTGGCATTTCTATTCAGTAAAATGGAGATGAAAAACATTTCTAATGATGTAAATTTCCTCCATGCTTGTGTTAGTTGGTAAATCTTTTAAGGTTCTTATTAACTTACTTTAAAACTGGAAAGTAAAGAGGGAGGATTTTTAAAGAACATCTGACAACTCTAGTGGAATCCGAGGAATTAGTGAAGAATTTGGGGCTGTTCACTAGTTGGTTATTATTTGGCACCAATATGCCAGTATTTTATTTGTAGTCTTTGTATTAGGGAGGTGTTTGTCATGGGAGCCTTTGAGTCTTATCCACCAATTTGCAAATTGGTGTTGGTCATTAGTTACTAGAGGAGCCTGCTAAAAGAATTCAATCTCCTTTAGCAAGGTCATTTCTCCTGAAAAAATAATTGAAACAATATTATGTACTGGTGGAGGGTCAGGCGCGTCCTCTTTGTGACGCCTTGTTTTGCCAAGTCGAGGCCAAGGTTAGGCACGGCTTCTTCATGGCACTTAAAAATGAGGTCCTTCTTAATGTCTACACAACTTGCTGGGGGTTAAAACCTTTGATATCCTTTTAGTTGTTTTTTTCTACAGATAAAAAAAGTCCCCAGTAAAATGTACTTACAAGGGATCTAGAAATTCTAAAATGGAAAGTACCATTTGATAAACACAAATAGACTACTTACACAAAGCCTGTATATAAGTAAGAGTTAAATACACAGGATGAGCAGCAGTCTAGACTCCTTGCTGGAACATAGTCATTGATGAGACATAGAAACAAAACTTGCGATTTTCCTTTGGAGTTGAGGCTGACCTGTGCTCGAGTCGCCTGTTTTCCACCCTGGTCATATATGCAGCCTTCCTCTCTGTCTTTCAGTCGCTACCCGGGGCAGCATCCTCTACTTCCTTGTCACCGAGATGCGCCTGGTGAATGAGATGTATCAGACTTCGCTCCGCCAGTTTCTCGGCTTGTTTGACCTTTCCTTAGCCAGGTGCGTCTGTGCTCAGGAAGCCACGCTGAATTCTGTATCCGTGGCCTAGCACAATGACTTGTGTTTCTCACTTCCTTTCCCTTTGCTACTGAGTCTTATTATTTGTCTCTAAATCTAAGATTAGCGTAATTGCTAGCATGTGAATAAGTTTTTCTCATGTGTCATTTTATGCTCAGAGAAAGAAATTATTCATCCACCAATTATTCGTCCGTTGATTGATTCCCTTGTGTTTCACATGTTTCTGTGAAACAAGAAAATTCCCAAGACATTGTTGTGCATGATAATACCCTGCGGGAGAATTGATTTAGATGGTGTGGAGAACCCGTCTGTGCTATTTCATGTGGAGAGAATGCTTGTTATTTTAGTTTTAGAAGGCATACCCTCGATGTGTAAAAGATAAAAACTGGCCCTCCAGAGTTACTTTCCATTCAAGATGCTGTTTTTATGGACAGTTGAGAAGGGCAGGTGAGAAGGGCAGCCTGATTTAAATGTTCTCCACTCCAGGTCCGTCAAGAGCCCAATTACAAGTAAGAGGATTGCTAATATCATTGAACACATGACCTACGAGGTCTATAAGTACGCTGCCCGAGGGCTGTATGAAGAGCACAAATTCCTGTTCACCTTGCTGCTTACCCTGAAGATCGACCTCCAGAGGAACCGGCTCAAGCATGAAGAGTTCCTCACGCTTATTAAAGGTCAGTACAACAACAGAAAACGTGGTGCACAGGTGCAGGTGTGAGAATTAGTGTGAAGGTCCTGTGCATATTTTCTTCTGGCGAGAGGCGTTTCCTTGAAGATTGTATTTTCATGAGGTAGTTTATTTGTTCATTTACTGTATGCATATTTACTGAGCATCTATTGTGTGTGCTGGGGCACAGAATAGCACTTGGAAGACATCAGTGAACAAAAAAAAAGAACTTTGTTTTTGTAGTGCTTACATAGGTTTGGGGGGGAGGTACCATAAAACAGAAAAAAGTAATAAAACAATAGGTAAATTATATTGCACATGAGAAGCTAGTAAGCACTATGGAAAAAGACAAGAGGATAAGAGAGATGGGAGTTACAGGGAGTATGAGGTAGAAGAGCTTTAACATTTTAAATGGGATATTTAATGGGATCTCTAATGGGGTACACCTACCTGAGAGATGGACAGGTAAGCAAACAGGGGACATCCTGTTGGTCCTTGGGACATTCATAGAGGAAGAGCATTGAAGGAAGAGGGGCTGGCATCAAGGCCTCTGGTGGAAGGAAGCGAGTAGTATGATGGAGGGAAAGCAAAGCAAGCAAGGTGACCGGAGTGGAGTGGGTGAGGCGACTGTGCCCTCACCCTGCTGACGTTTATCCTGCATGTACTGACGCATTGCTCACAGACAGGTCCCGGTGCCGCTGGGATAAGACAGCCCAGTGGAAGGCTGGGAAACATACATTCGCTGTCACATCCTTGACTGTCCGGACAATAAATATTTAAAGTAACTGCAGAAATGAGGGCAGGGGTTTAAATGGTTTTATCTACTACACCGTTCTAAATGAAGCCTTTAAATATAAGCCATAATTTTATCTTGTGGGTGGGGAGGGATTTTCATGATTTCACCTGGAGAGTGGATTTGTGGAGGAACTTGCAGAAGACCCTGATGGGGACATTAGGGAGGGGGTGTAGGTCCGCAGTCACATAGACAAATGCATATTCATGTTCATACGTATGCATATGCATACCCATCTCAGAGCAGCTACTAAGACTCATTCAGTTAGACTTGAACTTAGAAATAAGTGTGATTTATGGATGCTCTCTCTCTCTCTCTCTCTCTCTCTCTCTCTCTCTCTCTCTCTCCTCTCTCTCTCCCTCTCTTCCTCTCCACCCCCTCTTTTTCTCCCTCTCTCTCCTACTCTGTCTCTTTTTCTTTAATTCATTGTCTCTTGCACCCTTGCTCCTTATTTTTTTTTATGTTATTTTCCAAGTTTCCTAAAGTTGAGCATGTGGAAGATGAGTGATCTGGAGAGACACCACCTTAGATAGTACGTAGGGGTAGGAGCTGCCTTCCACAAGAGCCCGTCATGTATTACTGATTTCTGATCTCAGCACTCTGGGCCTCTAGCTGACTGACCTTTCCTAGGGGAAAGTTCCTGACATCCTCAATTAAGGCATGAACTGCATTTTCCCATGGAAATGACATTGAGCATGGCATCGTGGTCTGGTTGGAATACTGTAAAGTGTGTTACAGTTTGGTGTGATGATAACCAACATGGGAGTTCGCGTTAGGAAGACTCGAAGGGAAAATAGTGGCTTCCCACTTTTTTGATAAGTGGTCTTGAGCTGTTTTTTTTTAACTTTTTCAAACTTCAGTCTCCTCAGCTCAGCTGCAAAACAAGGACAGTCACATTTACATCATAGGATTGAGAACCACACCATTTATATAAAACAACACATAGAATATGCTCAGTAAATGATAGACGTTGTTACGTTATCTATAGCATTTTAGTTTATTTTAATCAGTCTGAGGCTTGCAGAGGTTAGGCAGCTTTTTGTGGGCCTTGGGCATTCGACAGCTATTTGTTATATTACTTTATGAACCAGAGTTTCAGGAGATTATCCTTTGATAGTTATGTTGTTGAGAGCTACCCAAGGATGTGACTTCCCTCTGTAAGGACTTGTTTGAAAATGTTAAATTCACTTGTTTGAAAATGTTTTTTAGAGAGCAGCACTGTTTTGATACTGGTCGTTTAATGTACTCATCTCTGAGGTGGAAAAGGATCAGCCTAGATGAGTTTCTGAGTCTGCCTCAGCTATGCCATGTCCTGATTGTGTGGCATAACTTGCCTAAGTCTTCCATTATAAGCATGCATGACGCCAGGGTTTGAAGAATGAAGGAATGGCATAATTCTGTCATCTTGAGGAGTTATTTTGAATTATTTCCCTCTCAGCTGTTTATTCGTCAGGAATCCATTTAATCTGGTGCCGTATTATCCAGGGATATGTCCCCCCTGCCTATTAAAATCATTCTTTGTGGCCCCTTGTACACTTTTGAGCTAGGGAAGAGATTCATGACCCAGTTGCCCTCCACTAAACAATGAATAATGCTTTGGCTGCAAGGAATGTCCTTTCCTCTCCATGAATTAGCTTCTTCCTAAGCCTCTGGTGACTACCTTATTCTTTTCAGTTTGGTGGAAAATAGATGGTTTTTGTAGAAATTGATGTGACATTTTTCAACCCAATGCTATTGTCCTTAGGTCCTTAACTGCTCCCTGGCATTAAAACAATCTGTTTTGATTTTATGAGCTAATATTTTTATTGAAATGGCTTCAAGGCCACACTTACCTTGTTGGAAATATACTAAGATGAATTTGGCAAAAAAATAGCAATTTAGTGGGGCACATAGTGCCTGGCTAAAGTAGAGATTGGCTCAATAAATACCTTAAATATAATTATTTGTTTATGACCCACTCTATTAAAAAAAGGATTCTAAAGGTAGCCAAATGCGTTGGTTGTATTATTTTAAGAATCATGCTTAGAGCATATTTTCCCTGAAAGACTTTAATAGATGTTATTTATTAAACAGTATATTTTACACCATTGCTAACTCTGTCTTTGACTCAAAATATGATTGTTCACACATTTAGTTTTTCTGAAGTGAGCCACAATAACATTTTTTAAAATGTTTATTCAGGTGACAATTGTTAGGAAAGTTACACAGATTTAATGTGTACAATTCTGTAATACATCATCTTTATAACACATTGTGTGTTCACCACCCAGAGTCAATTCTCTTTTTTTAAAAAAAAATATTTATTTTTTATTGTTAGTTTCAGGTGTACAGAACATTGCAATAGTTAACGTTTTCACCCTTCGCATAGAAACAACCCCCCTCCCCATCTACTGCCCTCCCACTCCCGATATCATCCTTATCTATTACAATTCCATTGACTCCATTCCCACTCTCTACTCCACGTCCCGTGACTATATGTATATATAATTATAGTTGACATACATTATTATTCAACATCAGCTCCAGAAATACAGTGCGGTGGTCAGGCCTCTACACCGACTATGAGAAATGTAAACAGAATAGTCTCAGTTCTCTTTCCATCACCATATATTTGATCCCTTTACCCTCATCTACCACCCCTTTCCCCCCTTACCCTCTGGTAACCACTAAACTATTGTTTGTGTCTATGAGTTTTGTTTCTTCATTTGTTTTTCTTGTTCTTTTGTTGTTTTCAGTTCTATATACCACATATCAATGAAATCATTTGGTTCTCGACTTTTTCTGTCTGACTTATTTTGCTTAGCATTATAATCTCAGGATCCATACATGTTGTCACCAATGGCAGTATTTCATCTTTTCTTATGGCAGAATAGTATTCCACACAATAAAATTTTTAAGGTGTCATGTGTTCTGTGGTGCTGTGTGAGCCTGACCTTAGGTAAATCATCAGCAAAAAGATAGGAGTCAGTACCCAATGGAAATGTTTATTGTGCTTAGACTGACCAAACACAAATTATATGGCACAGGGCGCTTGGGGTGTGCTCAGAATGGATGTAAATAATGTTCTGATTTATAGAAGAGAACTCTTCAAACACATGTAGTGCTACTGACATTTGTAGAGAAAGTTTCTCCTTAAAACGAACTTGTGCTATCATTGAGTAGTTCTTCATTTTGACAATAGCTGCTCATTTAGTGACCCTCTGCTTTGTTCTCAGTCCTGAGCTGGCTTGTCTCAGACTGTGGCCAATTGGAGCTAGAACAGAATCCAGCATCTGCTTGGCTCCAGACCCATACTGATGATTCTCAGATGTGTTTTTGTGAAGTCATCTATTCCTTTATTAAATTTTAAAGTTTGTTCATCACTATGATTTATATTTCTGAGCTTAAAAAATGTCACGGTGGTAAAATAATTGAAATTAAAATAGCTTAAGGGAAAGATTTTATGAATAGATTGTTCTATGGTAAAGAAGGGAAATCTAATAACCTTATGTGTTTAATTTTGAAGGTGGTGCCTCATTGGACCTTAAAGCATGTCCTCCTAAACCATCTAAATGGATCCTGGACATGACCTGGCTGAATTTGGTGGAACTCAGCAAGCTTAGACAGTTTTCAGATGTCCTTGATCAGGTAACATGTGCTTTGAATAAACTTATGATAATATTGCAATGAGCAGCTTTGTAATTTATCACCAGCTACAACAGTTGTGGAAGAGAGAGATTTCTTAAGTGGTATGACCTTGGCTTCACCTTCCTCACAATTCACTCACACTCTGGTAAAGCACTCCACCCACTGCAGACTGGTCTTGCAGGAAAGAATTATTTGCCCAGGAAGTTTAACTGATGCTGCCCTGTGTCCTATGTTAGTATCACCAGCTGGAGATTCACAAGTACAAAAACTGATAGACTCAATTAAGTAAAATAATTAGATATATTTAAGAGGTTTAGCCTTCTTTCTAGAGATGAAACAAAAAGAAATCTGAACAGCCTGCCTCTCAGTGCTAAATATCCTTCCTTGCCTCTTGTTCTTCTCTGTTTCTTCTGCTTCTCCTGTCACATTGCCTTAGCTAGGCATCCGGGTATAAATCTAATGTGAACACTTGGCCTCTTATCTTTAGACATTATGTCCTTTCATACTCAGCCAGTTGCTGATGAATTGTGCATATGTTGGGATCATGGAAGTTGAATATAGAGAGTTGAATTGGGATAAGCCAGGACACAGGTTTTTGAAAATCACATGACCAGAGAGAAGTCACATTGACAGCAGGGTGACTTTATTTAGCTACAAGTTGAAGGCTTTTGTTTTTTAACCAGAAAATGTTGTAGGGTTGGTTCTTGATTTCTCCAGTTTACGTTGATTAGAAGCTTAAGTTCTGCTATATGTTTATGTTTTGGCTTACGACTGATAATTACCATGTAATCAGGGTACAAAACATTCTTTTGAGTTAAATACCTTTCATTTGGGAGATTCTGATTTGCTCTGGCTTATTCCCTCACGGGATGATGTCTAGTGACCTTTGGTGGACCATTATCTATTATTGAAGTTGTTATCTTCTGGAAATTATATCTTATGCCTGCAATTTCTTCTCATTATATAGTCTTTCATGATTGAAAGAGGTTATTATTTTTTATTCTTACATGATACTTTCTAAATATAAACCTGGAATGGTTTTTCCTTTGATTAGACCACTTAGAAATACACTTGGGGCTTTAATAAAAGGGACTATACCAGAGAACATAAGATTATATTTATCTGTAGAGGTTATTTGTTTATTCTGTTTTTGAGATACTTACCCATGTAATGTTCATCTCTCTTTGATTTTTAAGCTCCAAAGAATAATGGGCAATGTTCTTTTCCTCTTTATTGGTTGCCTAAAAGAAACAAGTGTCTGATTATTTATTTGATGATGATATTAAGTGGTATATTTCAATAGAGTATTGGCCAAAACCAAAAAAACCCCACTTAATTCACTAAAAAAAAAAAGAAAACAAAAAGACATGTATTAAGTGCCTTGTTTTGTTCCAAGAGTGGTTCTAGAAAATGAGGAAACAAGTGAATTTGACTTGGTTCCTCACCATGAGAGGATTTCATGGAGCAAATCAGATAGCCTTAAAATAATGAAAATGAGTATTGGTTTCTTTATTCTTTACAATTTTGTTACCACAATGGCATAGAAGAAATTAAAGAACGAACAGACCCATGACTCTCTGTGCTTCAGAAGGTAGCTGTTGGCTGGTGTGACTCCAGACTGACTTAAGAGCAAATCACATTTGATTGCAAATTCTCAAACTTTTGGGCACTAGAATATAAAATTAAAAAAAATAATCAAGGGATATCATTCACACATGTCTCTGTCTGGAATGGTCAGAAGATTTGATGAAAAGTAACTATGAACTATTACTGAAAGATCTTTCCATAATGTGACACATTTCTTAATCCCTTATATTTTCAGATATCAAGAAATGAGAAAATGTGGAAAATATGGTTTGATAAGGAAAATCCTGAGGAGGAACCTCTTCCAAATGCCTATGATAAATCTCTTGACTGCTTTAGGCGCCTTCTTCTTATCAGATCCTGGTGTCCAGACAGAACCATGGCCCAGGTAAAAAGTACCTATTAATGAGGAAAGAAGACTATTTTTAAGGAGAGCGTCCTGTTAAATTTAAAGAGATATTTAAAATGTTAATCCCCACAAGAAATTTCTTGTAGGCTTTTATGTAATTTTCTAGCAATAAAAGGTGGAAAGTGGAAAACAAAACAACAAATAAATGTACCAAGGTGTAGATTTAGGCTAAATGATGTAATAATCTTCTGTGGTCCAAAAGGTCCAAAAGGACTGAATGAGAAAACCATATTTTTAAGGTTGGCATGTAGGTATAACATAAAGGTAATGTATATTTTCTTGTATCATTTTTATATTAACACAAAAATGATATGACTGCTCCATTTGCTAGCAGTAAAACAGTATTCCCTTAAGTAGGGAGAACGTGAAGGTACTGGAGGTGGGGGGCGATAGTGGGGGTTGAGGGGGCAGAGGGACAGAGATAGACTATAGAGGAAACAATGCATTCGCAAACCTGTATTCATTTTCCCAGAAAGTGCCACAACCTTGATGCAAGAAAGTAGGTTGGCCTAAAGTTCTTTGAATTGTATATATCGTTTAAATGTGAATCCTGCCTCCAAAAGACCCATCCTTTCAAAGACCTTTACTCTTCTGGCCCCCCATCATGGAAATTCACTAATTAAAAAGACATGCATGTTTTGCCTTTACAATGAAAAGCTTAACTCAAATATTCAGCATAGGTTGATTCTTTAAGCACTTCCCCAAATAAGCCTAAGGAGTAATGTAGGCGGGGTTTATCATAGAATGTAGGGAATGTTCCCCTTTGTTCTCCAGATGGAGTGTTAAAACCATATGAAGTCACTATGTCACATTCACTTAGGTTCTGTGGAATAACGAAAACAACTAGATCCAGTGATTTACTGAGAACAGAAAAATGACGTTTGCATCTTAGGACACAGATCACTCTTCCTTCAGTTCTTGTTCTCAACTACATTACTTTTATTCTGCCCAAAGGAATTGTTAAATAACTGCCTTATTTAAGGGCAGTGTAGAAGTTTCAGTAGTTCCTTTCTCTCTTTCTTTTTCCTCCTCTTCACTTCCCTCCTCTCTCCTCCCCTCCCCTCTCCTTTCCTTTTTTCTTTTCTTTCCTTCCCCTTTTTATTAATTTTTTCATATAACATTTTATTTGGTTAATGCTGAAATTGAAATCTTCCATGCTCTTTTGTAACTTTGTCACCTTCATCCCAACTCTGTCATCGGTAGCCTGACAACAGCCATGGCTTCCTAACTGGTCTCCTGTAGGCCATCCTGTATAGTCTAGAAGAAATGGAATTAAAATTGTGTCCTTCTTTTAATAAGGGCTTCCATGGCCCTTATGACAACACACAAATCTTGAACCCAGTCTAGATGTCCCCTCTGGAAAAGTGTTCTCTCTTCTAAAGTTCTTATTCTCGCATTCGATTCCTTTTGTGATTTTGAACCACATACCTTTTGCGAAGCATGTAAGAAGGTCTACAGTAGACACGTTCAATCCCCACCATGTAAGAAGGTCTACAGTAGACACGTTCAATCCCCACCATGTAAGAAGGTCTACAGTAGACACGTTCAATCCCCCACAAAAGAGTGGCCCCTCGCATGTGTTACGCTGTGTCTGATGCATTTAATTTGCATTTGGGGGCCAGGCAGAAGAGGTGTAATGGAAGTGTGTCCAGAGATGACAAAATATATCTGTATTCATGAATCCCATGTCTGGTCCAACAAGAGGTCTCGGTGGGCCTCCATCCTGGCTTCTCCCTCCTGAAGCAGCTTCAGGCTTGTTCTCAGCATTTTGTCTGAGCGTGGCTGCTCACATCAAGGAACTTTCACTTGCCAGTGGCCAGAATGATGCGCTGTCAGAGTTTCAAATTCCTCACGTGTAAAATAGGGACAATAAAATCTACCCAGGATGATGGGAATACATTTTAATCAAAATAGTGTATTTCATAGTAATCATGAATATAATAATTATTACATATCGATCTGAAAAATCTATAAAGAGTTTTTGTAGATAATTGTAAAAGCCTCGTCCCTATTTAACTGGCAGGGTGACTGTGGACATCACTGCAATAATCCACCAAAATGAATTCTGGAAACCACACTGCACTAGACACTTGAAGGAGTTGGAACTAGTGTTGGTGACTTGTGTACTGTTTCTGGCAGGCCCGCAAGTACATCAAGGACTCCATGGGAGAAAGCTATGTCGAAGGGGTCATCCTGGACTTGGAAAGGACGTGGGAGGAGTCTGATCCACGGACACCACTCATCTGTCTCCTGTCTATGGGCTCCGATCCCACGGACTCCATCATCGCCTTGGGGAAGAGATTGAAGATAGAAACCCGCTACGTGTCCATGGGCCAGGGTCAGGAGGTCCACGCTCGCAAGCTCCTGCAGCAGACCATGGCGAACGTGAGGCCACATGTCTGCTTTTGTGTCATGTTGTTCATATTACAGGTTGTAGAATAATGGCAGCACAGAAAAAGACTACGGATTGTTAAGAGTTTAAATTTACATACCTGTTGTTTACTAAACAGGAAAAGCAGATCTGTTAGAACATTTTCATGGAAAAACAGATATAGTTTAAAACTTTTCCTGCTGAGCCTTGAATTACGGAAAACTTCCCCAACCAGAACATCTATTTCCCCTCAGTTAGCATAATGCTAAGCCCACACAGATTCCCAGCCCTCAGTGGGGTCCATGGTCCCGCCGCCTCCACCATACACTCCAGCCCCTCCAGCTGCTCTCTCGAAATTTTCAACTTCCCAGAATCCACAACACCGTGCCTTTCTTGAGTTCCAGAATGCATAACCCGTGCCCTGGCATCCCCCAGGCCTGGCCCAGATCCCAGAAGCAAGAGATCTGCCATTACCCTGCGGTGGTGCCAGAGGTTTCAGGAAACCTGGCCTGTTGCCTTCTAGGCTGGGGCTCCTAAAGCCCTTTGTGGGTTGCAAATTCTACAGCATACAGAGCATGCTACGCTCAGGCCTGGCCTGGGGCCACCAAGCACTGGACACCACATGACGACCCTGCTAATGAGATAGTCAGGTTCAGAGTTGTGGCACTTTCTGGGACTGAGGTTAACAGGATGCAGGAGGCCCTCCATTTCCTCTCTAGAACTCAGCCCCAGGACAAGGCACTCATGTGTTTGCTCTGGTCTCGCTCTCTCTGGGGTGTCCATCTCTGCCTGGAGGAGCCCTCCACCCCTGGGCCCCTCTTCCTCCACACTTTGCCCAAGCAAGGGAAGCGCCTGAACCACTTGGCTTCTTATTCTTTCTGGAGAACAAGCAGTCTTGGTTTCGATGCCTTTCTGGCCTTCTTTGGACCAGACCCCACTCCTCTTCCCCTGAGTCTGAGCTCTTCCCTGTATCTCAAGACTCCTCTGTGCCCTACAGAAAACCCCTGCTGCGGCAGAACTGGCTTTCTTCCCCTCCAACCCCAACCACTGGGCCAACCAGGAAACCACTGGGTTCTGGGTCCCAGCTGCTGAATGTTGAACCTTACCACTTGGCTACATGTTAGTCCCTTTCACCTGGTCTAGACCTGAACCCACTGGGTCTAGAACCTCCATATTTACTTCCAACCTCTTCCATCTCCAAGCTGTGCCCTGCCCCCAGCTTTGGTGCAAAAGAGTGGCCCCTCGCATGTGTTACGCTGTGTCTGATGCATTTAATTTGCATTTGGGGGCCAGGCAGAAGAGGTGTAATGGAAGTGTGTCCAGAGATGACAAAATATATCTGTATTCATGAATCCCATGTCTGGTCCAACAAGAGGTCTCGGTGGGCCTCCATCCTGGCTTCTCCCTCCTTTTGGCCTCCTCCCCCATCTTCCTCCCCCCTCTTCTTCTGTTCCTCCCTCTGCAAATTACTGTATTTATAACAAAAACTCTAACATTAGCAGGACACTTCTTGAATTTAAAATATGTAATCATGTAATTAATAATTATAGTTTCAGGCAACCAAATTAGAATTTAAATGGAATACTTTTAGCTTTTAGTTTATCCATGTTATCTAGTTAGGACCGTATTTCCCCATGTGTAAGATGCACCCTTTTTTGAAAAATTTGGGGTCTAAAAACTGGGTGCGTCTTATACAGTGGTTGTAGATCGTTGTCAAGTCGTTTAAGAAGTGTGGCATTTCAAATGCCATAGATGGAACTGAGGGCGAGGCAATATATGAAGACAGTGATTTGTCATCAGACACAGGTGAGGACAAGCTAATGGTTGGGAGTTTTGACAGTGATGAGGAGTTGTATGAATTTTATGATGAATAAAACTTGAGTTCAATAACTTTATGTAATACATTTTTTTTTCAAATTTCGGACCCAAAATTAAGGTGCGTCTTATACATGGGAGTGTTTTATACATGGGGAAATATGGTAGTTTAATTTCAAGAAAAATTTTAAGAAGTCTTTATTATCATTAACATGTTTATAACTTGTCAGAGACAATAGTTGGTTTTTTTTTAACGTTTTGTAGAAAAGGTTTGAGGCAATCTGACATAAAGAACTAACTACCCAAGAATAGCAAAGTGAATGATCAGTAAGAAGAACTCAAAACCGTTAATACAGAGTGCAGCACTAGAAAGAAATGACCTTGGCTACAGGATTCTGTGGGTGAACATTGAAAGTTCTCACCTAAGAAACTTAAATCAGGATTCACCTGTTTGCTGGATGAAAGGGAGCGACTGAAGCCTTTTTTATTACATTTTATATTTAGTTTATTTTTGTTTTGACTTGGTGATAGTATCAATTAAATTTTCAAAGGACAAAGTTTACTTATCCAACAGTGCTATATACTTCTGAAGAAAATATAAGGGAATATGTGAAATTTCAAAATGGTCAGTTTTATATGTAACTCTGCTAAGATTTTTAAATTTGGCGCTCTGTTTGTTTCTTAGGAAGAGAAATAACTCAGGCTGTACTCATTAATCTAAGTGATCCAAAGTTTCAGAGTCAAGAAAACAATTTAGGATTATGATCTGGATAATGTAGATGATTTTAGCAAAAATATTCTCTAGATCAGATAGAGTAAATTATTATTGCATGACCTAAAATTTTACCCATGTTGCTTTATACAAGGAATATTCTTATGTTCCTAGAATAATTTATAAAAAAGATCTGGCTTATTTTCTAAGATTCTTGCTCTTAAAATGGTCAAATTCCCCAGAGAAGGTTCTTCCACATTCTAGAGCAGTGGGTCTCAACCTTCCTAATGCCACGACCCTTTAGTACAGTTCCTCATGTTGTGGTGACCCCAACCATAAAATTATTTTTGTTGCTACTCTATAACTGTAATTTTGCTACTGTTATGAATCATAATGTAAATATCTGATATGCAGGGTGTATTTTCATTGTTGCAAATTGAACATAATTAAAACATAGTGATTAATCACAAAAACAACATGTAATTATATATTGTGAAATATTTATTTCTAATTACAAATAAATGAAATTTTGTCTTGAAGCATGGAGACGGATAGAGGAGCAGTGTCTCGGTTCCTAAGACCATTGAAAAGATGTGTTTTCCGATGGTCTTAGGTGACCCCTGTGAAAGGGTCGTTTGACCCCCGAAGGGGTCACGACCCACAGGTTGAGAAACGCTGATCTAGAGTGTATATGCGCAGGTACGAGCATTCTGGTAACTCAGTGGGAGATGGGAGGTGATAGGTCTCAAAATCAGTGGGTCAACTTTTTTTCACCTATTTTTCAGAGAGGTTTCTATCCACTTAATGTGTTGATGTCCTCCAGTCCAAGCGCTGTCTGTTCTGCCTTTTAAAGAAAATCGGCTCTCCGTCTTTCTTTAGGGGAGGCAGGGACATGTCAGCAGCTGGACTTTCAATCTTCTGTTGTTAGCTCCTCCATCTTCTTCCTGGATTTCCAGAGGGACCTCTGCATCACCTGTTATTGAGTGTTTTGGGAGTTATGTGGTATAAATCAGGTTAGATCTCAGCCTTCCCTGAATGCCAGTTGAGGATTCAGCTTTCTTGAGTTTGTAATGTTCTTCAGAATGTCTTCACCCTCATGTTTTTGTCCTTAAAAGTTCATGCCTTTAAAAAAGATCCCTTCACTGTGGTTTTCATGGAATTTGGTGAGGGAGCCAAGATAAACGGATATGTTCAAGCAGCCATCTTTACTCAGAAATGCTGTGATCTTTTTTTATATTTCACTTGGTTATTTTCATGACTTCTAATATGTATTATTAGTACAATTGGCTTGCTATATGCGGGACAAATACATGGAACAAGAAAAAAATGCAGCTGTTTCCAATTAAACATTATTATATCCTTCGATTTGACCTAGATTAATTTAAAGTGGTTAGTGTGATTTTCTGTTAAATTTCAATTACTTAATGTTTAAAGAACATACTAATTTAAATCTCTAGGAGAAATACAAAATGGCCTCATTTGCATTTACTGTTGTTGACATAGGGAGGATGGGTACTTCTGCAGAACTGCCACCTGGGACTGGATTTCATGGATGAGCTAATGGACATAATTGTAGAAACCGAGATGGTACATGATGCTTTCCGCCTGTGGGTGACCACTGAGGCGCATAAGCAGTTCCCCATTACACTCCTTCAGATGTCCATTAAATTCACCAATGAGCCTCCACAGGGCCTCCGGGCAGGACTGAAAAGAACATATGGTGGTGAGTCGAGGAACGCTTCCAAGTTTATGGGAATTCTTGTACTTAAATTGTTTTCTTAAGGAAATTATTAAATCAGAATTAGTGAGAATATAGTTATGGCAAATGGGACTATTATTTAACCTGATTGGGGGTGGGGGCATGGCCCCTTTGTCATGCTCTTTGTGGAATGTTCTGGCTCAGGATTTCCCACCTTACATTTTTCCTATTTTCTCAATATTGCTTTACTTTGGCCTATGCTGTTCTCTGCTAGACACCTACCTTTTTATGTTAACATCTAAAATGGATATTTTTGTCATTTATGGTCTTCATGCTCCCTACCTAAGATAGGACAGTAGACTCTTCCAAGAGGAGAGGCCAGATTAGAATTATGGCCTGCCTGCATGAAGCCATATGTCAGAATGGTAGCTAAGGTAGAAATCGAACAAAAGCAACAAAACCAGACCCAGATGCCCCTCCAGTCACAACTGGAACCGAGATTACTCTCTCTGCCTTTCTTTTCTCTGCTTCCTGGCTTCTGTCTGGGACTCACGGTCACGGAAGAGCAAGGACCTCGGAATCAGAAATCCTGATTCTGGTCCTTCCTGAACAAAGGCTTTGTTCTCTTGGGTGTTAGTCACTCAAATAGCCTGAGTTTCAGTTTTCTCTCATATAAAATAGAGACAATAAAGTCTGTCTACAACAGTAGGAATATAGTGAATATAATAATTACTATATGTCAATCTGAAAAACCTACAAAGACTCAAATTCTTGCCAATTTACAAGGTAATGTGGGGATAAAATGAATGTGGAAGGGTGGTGACAGGGAAAAAAGATTACCAAATGAAAAAAAATGTGAATATAACATAATATAATATAACATAATATGTATGCATATATAATTATTGTTTTGGGACTATCATCAGGTTGCAATAGCTTCTATATACACTACTATTAACAATCTACTATTAATTAAAACAGTGTATGTCCATGCCCAAGTAATAATATTGTAAATTTTATTATTGTTATTATTAAGTAGCAGCAGTAGTTGTAGCAATAGTGGTAACAGCGGCAGTATTTGTTTTGTTACCATTATTCTCCCGCCTCTGTTTTATCCCCACATTGTCTTGCTAGATTGGCAGAAACCTGATCTATGGTAGCAAGACCCTCCTCCCCTCAAATCTCTTTGCCGATTTTTCAGAGAGGAATGACCTCTGGACACCCAACAGTTAAATTATAGTTGTCATATGAATGTGATTAAAATAATTCACAATAATAATAACTTATGAAAGTAATAGAAAATGCAGAGGTTTGAGAGCTGATACAGTTTTTCGCCCAACTGACCCCAACCAGGTGTGAGCCAGGACCTGCTGGACATGAGCACGCTGGTCCAGTGGAAGCCCATGCTGTACGCAGTGGCTTTCCTGCACTCCACGGTCCAGGAGAGGCGGAAGTTTGGTCCCCTGGGGTGGAACATCCCATACGAATTTAACCAAGCGGACTTCAATGCCACAGTGCAGTTCATCCAAAACCACTTAGATGACATGGATATTAAAAAGGTATCGTGTGCACGCTGCTTCAGGCCACTGGTGATTGTGGGCCAGGGTCCTCGTGCTAAAATGATCCCGCAGATTTGGGGGAAATCCTGTACGAGTGATGCTTTTCTGTGCTTGCAAAGTCTTTATCTTTAACTCATATCAACTCGGGTCACACTGGGGTCTTGAATTCATTTTAAACACAAACAAATTTTGATTATCTTTTTCTTTCTCAAAGGCAAGTTGACCTTACATACAAGACAACCTAATGGAGTCTATTGAACGGAGGGGGAAAATGGGTGGGAAAACTTGTTTTTTAAAAATGTTTGAAAATGAAAATGAGAGTCTAGATTACTTTTGAAGTGTGTGCTTTTTAAAGAACTGTCTCAATACTCTCAAAAAATAAACATTTTTTTCTGTCTAAATTAATGTATGAAAATATAAATGAACCCAGCAAGAGTCTATTTCAAGTCATGAACATGAGTTTTGAGTAATTGCTCATGTTTGCCCCTTTAATTTTCTGTCTGTGCTTTTCGCATCACTGATGAAGACTGAAGGAAGGATGACAATTAACAGGGACAATGAGGATGAGACAGCAGTCAGTTCTACACAATTATTCTGTACATTTCCCCAGGGCGTCTCCTGGACCACCGTTCGCTACATGATAGGCGAGATTCAATATGGAGGCAGAGTCACTGATGACTACGATAAGAGATTGTTGAACACATTTGCTAAGGTTTGGTTCAGTGAAAATATGTTCGGGTCAGATTTCAGCTTTTACCAAGGATACAATATTCCAAAATGCAGCACCGTGGATAACTATCTTCATTATATCCAGGTTTGTCAATATCAGAATTGTATGTAGAGAGCAAATAGTCTCAGCATTTGACCTATTTGTCATTAATTTACACTATATATATTTCCTTTAAAATAAATTTTAATGGTGATACATAGTGGACCTTCCACTGTAAATGCTTTTCTTAATATGTTTATATTTGCCTAATAATTGATATGTTTATATTCGTTCTGAGTGTGTGTTTTGTGTGAATTCCTCCCCTCCTTTCTCGTTTTAATGTCTCAGCGGGGAATATTTTTGGGGGAGATGATAGATTGGGCAGATTGAGGACTGGGGACCATGCAGATCCCCTCGAGATCTCTACCTGTGAGGCTTCAGCTACCTCTACTAATTGCACTGATCATCTCTAGATTCAATGTTTTCTGTTTTTCAATGCACCTGCCTTGTCCCGTGACATCAGTTCCTTAATCCTGGCCTAATGGGCAGTGTTATAGGATGTTCAGGGACCCACTCTGTGTAAGAGCTTCTTCATTCAGGGCCGGATACTTCTTTGTAACGGGGGAGGGGATGGAGGCTGTCCTGTGCAGACTGGTTGGCAGCAACCCTGGCCTCCACCCACTAGATGTCAATAGCACCCCTTATCCAGTTGTGACAACCAAAACCATCTCCAGAGATGGCCAGATGTCCCCTGGGGGTGCAATATCACGCCTGGTGGAGAAACACTGCTCTAAGAAAGAATAAGATAGGTTTTGATGGGAAATTTGGGGAAAATTTTGATTTGTGTTTCAAGGTAATTACATTTTCTGTCTCTATACCTTAAATTTATTAGATCATTATTTAGCAATCTCCATTGCCTCTGAGATTTATCTCAGAGTGAACAAACTAAAGCACAACAGTCCCAAAGGCTAAATTTATTAGATATGCAGAGGTTCTGTGATAAATAAGTGTGATGAGTTTATCATATATTAACCACCTCTGTACTTTTATTAATTCAGATCAACAAATAAATGTGTCTTAATTGTACTATATGTGCCTTTAAATCATTAGCACTGAATGCAGAGGTGCCTGTGAAGGTATAAATTTAGATATGCCTGTACGTGTATTTATATAGACCTCATTTCACAACGAGTTTGAGGTCACTCATAAGAAGATATTATGTAAAATGGAATAAAATAAGGGACTATAAGGGAGGGAAAATATAAGCTAAAAATAAAGCTTAGGATGCATAAAAATAATGCTGAATTGCAGGTAAATTTCCTTTTATTGAAGTAGCTGAGGGATTTTTGCCTGTTTGTTTTGCTTGTGTCGCTTCTCTCCACCTCTTGTCTGTTTTGCTCTCTTAGTGCTGCTCTTTTTTCCTGGTCTTTCCACGGGAGAGTACAGTTCCCTTATTTGGGCCATAATAGCTAAACCTGTCACTTTCCGGGATCTTGAAAACATAGTAACTGTTAGTTATACATGTATTTAAACGACTGGTTTGAATTAGACTGGACTTTCAAAAACCAAAATACTCATCCATAGATCCCTTTCTATCCTCCATATTATAAAACAGGACGTTATCTCTTTGATTAAAATGCTTGAGGTATAGACGTCCAAGAACCTGGAACCTATTATATTCCTTAGTGTTAATTTTTTTTTTCAAGGCAACTTTTGTTTTTTGTTTTTTTTTTTCCCCGAGAAATTATTGCGATTGTAGCCAGACACAAATAAGACATATCATGTAAATGCTTATCCTATAAAAACACGTTATTTCCTAAGACAGTATAATTTAATCAGTGCTTATGTCAGCAGTCTGTGCTTACCTGGTGTGCTTGTTGTTCAGAGCTTGCCCACCTATGACAGCCCCGAGGTGTTTGGGCTGCACCCCAATGCCGACATCACCTACCAGAGCAAGCTGGCCAAGGATGTGTTGGACATCATCCTGGGCATCCAACCCAAGGACAGCTCTGGAGGCGGGGATGAGACCCGGGAGGCTGTGGTGGCCCGGCTGGCTGATGATATGCTGGAAAAGCTACCCCCAGACTACAGCCCATTTGAAGTGAGTTGAAATCCTGACAGAATGTCGGCTGTGGACGTGTCTGTTTGGTTGGGGGAATGAGGAAGGAGGAAAAAAGTAATTTTTCTGAAATAAAACAAAAAAATATTTCAAAACTCACTTCCTGGAAAACCAAAAAGAGAAGATTTTGAAACTATAAATGTGATCATTTCAAAATATAAATAGTAAGAAACCTGATGAGAATGTTAATATTCATAATTAAATTACAAGTGTGTACTGATGGGTTGGAATTCTTTTTCTAGAAGTTTCCCTTGGGGTACTTTACATTGTCATTTGTTCAAAGCAAAGTAATGTATTCTTAGAGTAAAAAATGTTATTTAAAATAAAAAGTGTTATGTAATTTAATGCACACCTTAAAATTCAGGCCTTCTTAATTTCAGGGAGTCTGTATTTATATCATTAACTCCTTGCAGTTTCTTCATCTCATGGGTATTAAAAATTGATTTGTCTTTTTAATATGCAAGTAACTGCTAAACAAATTTATGATTATAAAAGTTAATTTTTTTAGACATTTTAGCATATACTGTGAAAAGGTTTGCCCTGATAACATTTTTAAACCTTTGAGAAAAGCAAAAGTAACTTATTTTCCATGTCGTCTTAGATGACCTGGACTAACCATGTGACGGTTGTCACAGGGCCGCCATGTTTCTTTGTACATTTCCCCCTTTCCACCTGGTTGCAAGGGAAACCTGCAGCATTTCGTTTCTTTGGCGTCATATTATTTCCCACAAGGCAGGCCATTTTGGCTGCGAGTACTACAGACTGAAATCAAGGGCCTATTGCCAAGGGGATAATCTCCCCGGAAAGAAACTCTGATTGCTTGCTTGGAGAAAATCAATACTGTAATCAGCTTTCATAAACACCTTTCATTATAGTATCAGGAAACAGGTCATTCATGTCTCACAGTGGTCGAAATATTTATGAAACATTGAAATATCTAAAAATATCACAAGTCCATAGATGAATAAATATGGTAAGTAATGGGGTTTAGAAGCATCTCCGTCCTTTTGCTGAATTGGTCAGTGCTGCCTTAGGATAAAGTGACTCAGCCTAGCACAATAGCTGATTCATAGAAGATTCTCAATAAATACCTGTGAGATGCAAGTGATTGGGTGGGTGGGTGGAGGGAGGGATGGGTGGATTCTTTGATGGAAAACAGAAGTGTACTTTTCTGAAAACACAAGTGTACTTTTCTGAGGCAGCCAAAAGAAGGGTCGTGTACATGTACTGTGTACATGTCTCTGTGTGTCCGTCCAATGTGTGTGTTTGAACGTCTTAGGTCGGCAGCAAGTGAGTATTTCCCAGTAAGCGCAGTTGCTGTTCTGAAGACCGCGTGGTCGTGGTCATGTGTTTTCTATGTTTCTGTGCATTAAAGGCTGTCTGTTCTCTCCCACGTGGGATGAAAAAATCAGCCAGTCATCTAACAGATGTACCCTCTCTTATTTCTTTTCTGTTTTCTGGCAGTAAAAAAAAAAAAAAGCTTATCTTTATGGAATTCCAAATTTTGGGACTTTTTCAGAAGCCCCAGTTCCATAAACATGTCTAATTTTTAACACGTGCTGAATGTCTCTATGGCAGGTCAAAGAGAGGCTGCAAAAGATGGGGCCTTTCCAGCCGATGAATATTTTCCTCAGGCAGGAGATAGACAGAATGCAGAGGGTCCTCACCTTGGTCCGAAGCACCCTGACCGAGCTAAAGCTGGCCATCGATGGCACCATCATCATGAGTGAAAATCTTCGGGATGCATTGAATTGCATGTTTGATGCCAGGATTCCTGCTCGGTGGAAAAAAGTACGTTTACGTCTGCTCTGGTTCTGCCTAGTCAGCGTATTGTTGTGAATCCTTGCAATTGGCAAGTGGAAAATGTTGGACAATTTATTTAAAAGTGTTTTTTGGCTTAGGTACTAATCCCCTTGCAGTCCTGTATTTTTGGATTGTAGGGAGGGGAGGAAATTATGTAGCCTCTCCCACATATTAGGTGCTCTGCTGGACAATGGACATGCTTATTTCATTTAAATCATGCATTTTATTGCCTTCATTTTACAGGTGAGGAATTTGAGGTTGGCAGAGATTAGGCCTTTTCCCAAATCACACACCTAAGTTATCCAGGAATCAGAACTGAAACCCAAGCCCTTGGGCTTCAAAGCCCATTATGCTAGTTTCATAGAAGAGAAGGTTCTGAAATACACATTCATATCAAAAGTCACACCAAAGAGAAACATTTTTCCTTCCTTTGTAGATATAGGAGTATGTATATCTCAAGATAACAAGTGTGCTTACTGATTATACCTGTTGGTAATTGCGCTAAATGACAGATGTGGTTTTAAGATATAATTTTCTACTTGGAAAAGTAAAATGATGTCTGAGTGTCTTTTTAAGCAGGAAAATGTGTATTTGAGGGGAGGGAGCCTAATTAACGTCTGTTTCTTTGTTCTGTATTTAAGTGTGCACATGCATATGTATCTCCCCCCGGGGCTCCGGCGGTCCAAAGCAGTGGGTCCTGCAGGCAGCATAAGGTCCCTGGGGGAGTGCTCTTCTGTTGTCCTCTCCACCTTATCTGACGACACCACCACCCATCCCTCTAGTCACACAGCTTAGAAACTCAGAATCAACTTTGACCACACCCTTTCTTCTTCTCACCTTCAAGAAATTCATTGCCAAGGCTTTTCTGTCTGAACTGCCTCTCCTCATTGCCAATGACAGAGGGAGAACCTATCTGGTCACTGGCCAGTGCAGGTTTGTTCCCCACTAAACCAGCTCACTCAGCTTGGCCAGCACCTGGGAGGCCCTGGAACAGACGTCCTCAGGAGCCACCCTCCCAGTAATGGTTCCCTGTGCCCTCAGATCACATGTGGCATAAACACTTCTCTTTCAGGTAACACAGCTGTAAAGATAGGTTTGGAATGAGTTACCTTATTTGTAAAGTATCTTTTTATCCAGATTTCTCTTCTAATCAATATACTATCAGTCTTTGGAATCTCAGTGCATTTTGAAAAATAATAATTCATTCTTAAGATAATTGAAATTCAAGCGTTATATCTACCCAGGTCGATCATGACATTTATTCATACCTAAAATATTGTAATTACAGTAAAATGCTATAAAATATGATTCAGAGATAACTACCAGTGTGGTTGCTGATAACGTTAATGACACATTCATGCCCAATTTGATGACAGAAGCTCCGCACATGAATTCAGGCAGCAAGTTATGTATAGGCAATGCATGCAATTAATTTGTTGGTGGGAGAGGGACCTATGTTTCCATTTCTGCTCCTTCATCAGAGGAAATCAAAGTACGTTCTAAGGGACAAGAACTTCAGACAATGATTTGTTTGTCTCAATGAAAATGATAAGTGGAGAAAAACCATCTGTGAGTTATGAATCACAGAATATATTTTAAAGTGTTGATGAGGCTATGAGCACATTTACATAAATTTCTATCCTGTTTTTTAGTGGATCTATTGACAATGTAACCTAAGGAAAAAGAGTTGAAACCTGTTAAATTTAGTTCAATTAATTGTTTTGATTACTTTATAGCAGAATTGGTAATGAATATATTCACATGTGGAAGGTGATTCTATTGACAGCATAGCATCTGAGTTCTGAATCGATCTGGTATTCATGTGGTGATCATAACAAGGAGGAAGAATCATTTGGAAACTTAAATTTCAAAACCCCAAGGGAATTCATCTCTTTGAAACTTTTAGATTCTAAAAGTAATATTGGTATTCCACCATTTTTTGTTTTCTCTGTGAACATAGCCAGTTACCCAGCAGAATTAAGCCTGTATCAATTGTTTTAATGTATGCATTTCAGGCATCATGGGTTTCGAGTACATTGGGCTTCTGGTTTACTGAACTTATAGAAAGAAACTGCCAGTTTACGTCTTGGGTTTTCAATGGCCGACCCCATTGCTTCTGGATGACAGGCTTTTTTAACCCTCAAGGATTTTTAACTGCGATGCGACAGGTAAGAGCTTTGGCTTGAACCTCTTGTGTTATTTTCCTCTCCTTTTCTTCTTTCATTATAGTTTTAAAAAATATAATAAGGCAGAGAATGACTGTCTCTTTGGGGCACTAGCTGTTACATTGACCTAAACATAAATCCAGAAACTTGTTCTCAGGCTTTTTTTGTTTGTTATTTTTTTTATTTGTTATTTTTATATTTGATTTTATAGTATATATAATATATATGTATATACAAGTATTAGTGGGTAACTTGGGACATGGGTATTTGTTCTGAGAGAATCTTTTTAACTTTAAATTCTTTAAATAATATTCTGCGTCCTTTGCATTAGGGTAATTTGGTGCTACACTGTTGTCACTTTTATGATCTGCATTTTAAGACAAACCTCTAATCGCCAATTTCATCCTTTGCTTTTGTTCTTGCCCTGAGTAGGAGATAACTCGGGCCAACAAAGGCTGTGCTCTGGACAATATGGTGCTTTGCAATGAAGTCACCAAGTGGATGAAGGATGATATTTCTGCCCCTCCCACAGAGGGCGTCTACGTCTATGGCTTATATCTTGAAGGTGCTGGCTGGGACAAGAGGAACATGAAACTCATTGAGTCTAAACCAAAAGTGCTCTTTGAGTTGATGCCTGTCATAAGGATTTATGCAGAAAACAACAGTAAGTGCTCTTGTGCATTTAGGGATGGTTGGTGTTATTGGCTGGAATGACATTGTAAACATAGGCTCTCATTCTTGTTGTTATCATGTAATAAGGATTTGACTATTTTATCAACTAGCTTCACATTCAAACCCATATTTAATGAGTATCTATTGACCACTAGGCACTTCCTTGAGTGCTATGGGGGAGGCAATGGTTCTAGATAATTCTTGCCTATATACTAAAGCAGATATATAAAGATACTCATAAAATGTTAGAGGATGAGATAAGAAACAAGTATTTGGAATAGTTAATAAGTGATGGGAAAGGGGGTGAAGTGTGATGAAGTGGCCAGGGCAGCTGGCCCTGGACTGGGCTTGGAAGGATGGATATGAGGAGGTGGGACGAGTGGTATAAAGCAGGTTTCTAGGCAGGACTGACTGCCTGGGGCTCACTGGAGGCGGTGGCTTCACTAGTTTGGAGGTTGAAGCCAGCTTGTGAAACAGGTTGAATTTAGGGACTTCAACCTAATCCAGTGTCTAACGGTAAAATGCTGGATTCATATTTCAGACTATGACTGTAACAACACTTCTGTGAAACACACACATTATTCTACCTTGATAAAGTCATCAAAGCTCTGTTTGACAAGTCTAAAACGAAGTAAACTGTTTTCCATTGTTGGCTTGCTGTTTTCTGGACACCTTCGTTGTTGTATTTCGCTAGCTAACATCTTCCCAGCAACAACCACCTTTCAGCACACGTGGTGGGACTTTCTTGTTCATTTTATTTTGTTAAAATTTATTTTAATTTTAAATAAAAATTGTATGTAAGGTATACAGCATGATGATATATATATATGTATATATATATACACACACACACACACACACACACACACCACACACACACACACACACACACACACACACACACACACACACACACGGTGAAATGATTACTATAAACCATAAACTCTAGAGGTAGCTATGATAGCGATCCCACAAGGAAGTACTGATTTTGTGACAGAAACACCAAAGAGTTTTCTTTAAACACATAGTTCCTCTTTAAAAGGCCACTTTTAGTATCTCCATCCCTCAGATAAATATCCCTTTTGGAAACAAGAGTCAAGGGAAGAGAATTTATAAACTATGAGCATTTTCTTTTCTTTCTTTTTTTTTTGGCAAACATTGGCTGAATGCCTAATAATACCAGCTGGGACCATGGTTGCAAGGGACACAAAAGTAACCATGAACCAGATCCTGCCCACAGGGGACCCGTGGTTTAGTGAGGGAAACTGATGAGCAAACAGAATAGAATTTAAACATGTTATGATAGAGACACACTCAGGATGCACAGGGGGCCTAGGAGGAGAGTACAACTATGCCGGGAGGGGGTTGGTGGAGATTGCTTCTGAGATGTGCTCTGGAGGACAAGAATGATAGGGAGTTAGGGGTAGACTTTGCTTAGCAGAGGGAACTAGCACTCGCTCAGTTGGTCATTCCATGCTACTGATCTGGTGCTGACCATCTGCTGGGAGTACTTTGGTGTTGGGGTGCAGCAGTGCATAAAGCCCTGCCAGGACCCCACTCTCGCAGAAGTCAGTCCCAGAGAGGGGAGGGTAGCCGAAAAAGCGGAAGATATAGTTGATCCTTGTTACTCCAGGATTCTGTATTTATGAATTTGCCTATACTCTAAAGTTTATTTAGAACCCCCAAATCAATGCTTGTGGAACTTTTGCAGTCATTCGCAGACATGCATAAAGCACTGAAGACTTTGAGGCGCCCGCCATGCATGTCCCCTCTGAGGATGATTTAAGGTGATGCTCTGCCTTCTTGTCTCAGCTCTCCTACTGAAAACCAGTGTCCTGTTCATGGTCTATTTAGTGCTACATTTTCCACATTCTTGTACTTTTGCTGTTTAAAATGACCCAACCACAGCGCTGAAGTGCTGTCCAGTGTTCCTGAGTGCTGCGATGTGCCTTCTGGAGGAAACACGTGTGTTAGGTACGCTTCATGCAAGCATGAGTTACGGTGCTCTGGGCCTTGAATTCGATGTTAATGAATCAACAGCGTATATTCAAAAGGTGCCTTTAAGTAGAAACACACATGAAACAAGATTGCGTATTGATGAGTGGATGACAATGTGACCTGAGCCCTGCAATGACATTTCCCTGTATTTCCCCTAGGAGCCGTGGTTCTGTAGTCCCAGATTCAGTGTTCAAAGAATTTTACATACATGAGTCCCACGAGTAATAGAACCGACTGTAAATGAACATACTGATTTCAGATACTTGTTTCTAAAAGGAAAATGCACACACAGTCTGTTAGGGAGTGAAATAATTTAGGGGCTCAGGGGAGGCTTCACTGATGAGAGAACATTGAACTCTGAGACCCAAGTGACAGAAAGCAGCTGTGCTAATATCCAGGAGCAAGGGCAGGGGTGCGAAGGTGTGAGGTGTCCATGGACATGCTGGGTTTGAGGAACAGAAAGAAGGTAAGAAGGAAGAGGAGCTATGGAGAGAGAGCGCTCAGCACAGTTCTTGGCACCTGGCACCACTCAATAGATCTTTGCCGAATCTCAGAGGACACAGGTGTCTGCTTGGGCTCAGGCAGGCGTGCTGCCTGTGACTTCATGTTGACGGGCTCTTAGGTTGGTGGGAGGTCCTGGGGCCGTGACTGTTTTATAGAAATGATAATCCAACATTCTTGGAGCCAAAAATCGTATTTTAGAAATTTTGCTTTACCGTATTGTTGCAGCTAGTCAACATGTTGTAACAATGTTTCCCTTATAAAATGAAACAAAAATCCTTCTCACATGGAGTTAGGTGTTCCTTTTCTTATTTCTTGTGGCTAAATTGCAAAAATCCACTACAATATGACATTGACCATCTCAACATGGTAGTAATAAAGTAACAATTTTATCATACAAAGGCAATTCTTTATTACTTAAGAACAGATTTGTATAGAACTGTACTCACCCTGCTGGGCATTAGTCAGTGGTGATACTCAGGAGCAGCAGGTAAGGAGGAAATAAAATAAGCAAAGGAAAAGTGACTCATTTCAAAGGACTAAAAAAAGAAAAGAGAGACTTTAATTCTTTATTCTTTTTTTTGTTTGTTTCTATAGAAGTTGGTGGAAACTTGTTTTGCCAATTTGTTGTTGAGGACGTGTTCTTTAGTGATAAAAAGCTAACATTCTGGTGCTCTTTTCATACTGTAAATCTAATTTTCACTCAATTTTGCTCGCTGAATAGGGCTCTGATTGAGATACAGGGCTGTAGGATTGTTAATGGCTATAGTGTACTCCAAGAGTATAGCGTTTTAAAATTAAAATTCTTGTAATGAATTGTTTTTCTGTTCACATGAAGAGCAATTTTCAGTTTAAATAATTCATCATCGAATTTTACATACAGGACTGTTTTTTGTTTTGTTTTCAAAAAGATATCTAGATATTTATTGTAACTCTAAGAATTGAATGATGTGTCCCCACATGTTTATTTTATTCATATTTCTTGTTAAGACATCATGGGAAGTCACCCAAATAGTATGTGCCAAATTCACCAAGAGGGCAAAGCCACCCACACCAACCCAGATCCTCTCTCTGTTCTCAAAGAAAGTTGAAAAGAGGCAGAATAGGAAATACTTGTCTCCTTTACAGATTTACTCTATGGGCAGAGTGAGGCTTCAAAATGAACTGCAGTGCTGTAGCCGATGTGATAGGAAAACGGTGATTAGAACATTTTGGGGGAATGACGCAAGACTTATATGTACCTCTGGTCATGAAGTAGAGGGAGAAGTATCTCAGGGTCCCTGCAGCTAATGAAGCTATTTCCTGCGAGGGAAAAAGTGTTTCTAAGAACACCCAGCGACCCGCTCTGATCCAACACTGCAGATGTGGGGCTGGGCCTGGGGCTAGCCCCATGCTGCGACTGGTGACCTGAGCCCCACAGCATTGAATTCCCTTTCAGTTTGTAAACCTGGAACTCTGTGAAAATCATGGGGAACATAAGTCTGGGGAATTTGTTTTAGTATAAAGGTGTGGGGGGGGGGCGGCCAGGAAGGGGGGGCAGAGAGAGAGAGAGAGAGAGAGAGGCAAGAGGTTGGGGGGAGAAATCTAACACCCCTCAAGCATCTATTGCATTATAGACATTATACTATGACAGGTATTCACATATATTAACTTAATCTTTACAGCAACTCTGTAAGATATGATGCCTATTTACAGATGGGGAAATTAGGTGTAGAGACATGTAATTTGCCTATGATTCCTGGCTACCAAGGCTGGTATGAGTCACATTTGTCTGTTGTGGGGGTGGGGTGGGGGTGGTTGAAACCTCGGGGAGCTGCTGCGGTTAGTGTTCCACTTAAGATTATGCATTTAAGGAGCCCCTGCGGCGTCTGAGATGAAGCTGGAAAACCACGGCTACATTGAAAATGAGGACAGCCCCTTGCATTTTGAAGTCATGAGTTTATTTTTGTCAGGTACATGATGAAGTGGACACAGTGAAAATGAAACTGGCAGTTAACAATAAACATGTTCAGGTCTTAAATCACAGATAGAGGTGTAGGCTTTGAGCACTAAATACTTCAAGTGCTTTGGTTGTCACATAGCTTATAGTAAAAGATTAAGAAAATGTATTAGACATGTTCTGAGGGCCTCCCTGTAAAGCAAGTTCTAGGAGAAATGTTTAAAAGTACACGTTACTTGAGATAATGGAAAAATATGGCTAGTTAAGCACCAAACAATGATTGCTTCAATAATGGCGCTGGTCACAATATGACTAGTTTCTGCTCTTTGCTCTTTAAAGATAACGTCACAGGCACACAATTATGAGATATTTTGCAGAATCTTGGCTCTTCAACCCAGCACCCCTTGTTCTCGCAATATAATTTTGTGTTGCTGATTTCCTGCTTCTTTGTCCAGCAGGAATCAGTGCCTCCGGTGTCCCAAGGAGAATTTATGAATTTGTTTCACAGAAGGAGTACATGCCTTTAAGAAAGTTGTGACCAGCTGTTGATGCCCAGAAATCTGGCTGCACAAATTGTTCCCTGTGACTAAAGAACACAAACTTTCCCCTCGGTTCCCTGGAACTTCGCCTCCCTTACTCCTTAGCCTCATAGAAACCCCTGCTTTAGCTTATTGAGGAAGGCGGATTTGAGCTATCCTGCTCCCCCATCCACCAGGTTTGGCCAAATTGAGTAAACCTTTCTCTGTCTCCAAGCACCGGTGTTTCCGTGTTTGGATTTAGCTGCACATCGGAAACTCAGACCTGAATTTTGAGAGGTGGTTCAGCAACACAAGCGTCTGCCCTGTGCAGATGAGAGCTTTCACTCCCGATGGCACCCTCCCGCCATGCTGCTGGCTAAAGGTGGTCACCTCCCCTGCCCCCCAGTGGGGCCACATGTACTCAGGTAAAGGACAGTGAGCCAGACACCCGGATACTTGGGCGGCTCTCCTGGCTTTATCACCCTAGTAATTAGTCATGTGGCTTTGGAGGGGACTCAGATACACCACAAGTTGAAGTCAGATATCTAGTTATCCCCAGTTCACTTTCACATCTTCCTGCAAAGACGTAGAGGCACATATGCTTAGTATGCCGCAGCTGTCACTGAGATTAGACTGTGGGCTCTGGGTCCATACTGGCCAGGCTCGCGTCTCATCACCTACAGCTTTGCAACCTTGGACGAGTAGCTTACTTCCTCATGTCCCAGTTTTCTCATCTGTCAAATGGATTTAATAATAGCGCCCACCTCATAAGGTTGTTAACAAGAGTATTAAGCTGACAATGTCCAGCACATAGCATGCAATGAATAATTTTATTATTATTACTATTATTAATATGTTATCTCACATTCTTGTTGAAGGCTTGAAAGAAATATCACCTGTAAGTAAGAGTGCACTATTTAATAATTGAAATGTTATTAACAAAAGGGGGGTTAAATGCAGGAATGATTTAAAGGTTGCATAGGGGGGGTTTCCATGTAACTGGGTTATTTTGGTTATTGGATGGCATATATGATGCAATGATACACTATTAACATTTGGATGGAAAATGGAGGCTAGAAGGGAAGTTACTGAGTTAGAAAATGAAATTCCCTCCAGGTGTTTTATTCAAACCTTTAGGTCCTTAAAGCCTATAGCTCACGGATTCAGACAACCACTTCTCTCTGCTCTGCCCTGGAGCCTTAAGGCCTTAAGCATATTTAGCTGATTTGTTCTACCTACATAGCATGTTTATTTTCTTCTTCAGAGTCATTTGTCTAACCAGGCGTAATGGTTTGGAATCATCTGTTTATGTAGTTGTTTAGCGTCTGTCAGCACTTTCACGATGAAATTTTATTTTCGGTGGCTTCTAATCTGCTGCAGAAGTTCAGTGCATGCTGTGACTTGGCCACCTTCCATTCTGAAGCCGTGAAACGGAAATAAAGTGGGATTGATATTTCAGAGCCTTTGTACCTGCTTATGGAAATGAGCACGATTTTTTCCAATTCTGGTTTTCTTTGGGGGTTAAAATCCAACTAGTCAAATACTTGCCAAAGTGCGATGATTATAATTATCATTTGGTTGATAAAACGACAATGGCTTATGTCAAGATTTATAAAGTGATTGTTAGTCAAATGTTCATCCAGAAGAAGAATCAGTTATATTTTTGTTCTGTGTTTACAGATCCTAGGATTAAAGGGTTTAAATATATCAGCTAGTAGAGTTAGTATTGACTGCATTTCATGAATTCACATATATTCATATATTTGCCTAATTATTACTATGGCATCCCCATGGTAATTTAAAACATAATACCTAGACTTAAAAATTAGGTGATACATTAATTTAGATTGTTTCTAATGATTAATTTCATAAGATTGAAGAAACACAGAATTTTAAAGTACTGTAAAATATCTGTGACTTCGTTTTAGAACATGTTTTCTGAACCTTGGTGTTTTGGACTTTTTTGGCCCAGATAATGCTTTGTTGTGAGGGGCTGTCTTGTGTATTATTGGATGTTAGCAGAACCCCTGGTCTTTACCCACTAGATGCCAGTGGCACCCCACAACCCCAGTTGTGATGACCCAGAGTGTCTCCAGATAGTGGCAAGTGCCCCCCCCATCCTGGGGGTAAAATCACCCCTAGTTAAGAATCACTGCTTTAAAGTATTTATTTTATATTGAAACTTACCTATAACACTGTCATATTCAAATGTTTAGCTTCCAATAAAATTAGTTATAGTGGAGGGATGAGAAGACATGGCGCAGCAGGTTGAAGGTTTTATTGGGTCAAAAAATTGAGACTAACTTCTGATAATGTCTTACTTTTGTAATGTGTTAGAAAAAGCTAAATGAGTGCTTGCTTTGGCAGCAAATATACTAAAATTGAAAGGATACAGAGATTAGCATGACCTCTGCTCAAGGATCACGTGCAAATTTGTGAAGCGTTACCTAATTTAAAAAAAAAGGGAAGAAAGAAAAAGCTAAATTATTGAGCAAGTTAGTCTGGGGAAATAAATTCAATCAGTTTGATAGATTGCATTTAGAAAATGACAGTGTGTGTGTGTCATGCCTGTGTTTGTAATACTCATTCACCAAAGCAAAGTTACTAAGATAAATGTGTTTTCGTCTCCGTAGTTACGTGAGGGTCATTTATAATATTGGCCTTCCCAAAGAGTCCAAGGATGGGTGCAGACAACGTTTGTCCTGAAAAGATGTGGAATCTGAAAGAGAAGGGGAAATAATATACTGCTTCCTGAGATGGGTGTGATAAGATGTGCAGATAAACTCCTCTGGGCAGAGTGGACTTCGCCAGAAGCTAATGGAGCTGAAACTCCAAGGCTGTTCCATGCAGAGGCCCCCTCCAAAGTCCTATTTTGTGTCTGTAGATTCGTACCCTTTTTCTTAAAGGGCTCCATCCCCCAAATTGTTAAGTTTAAGACCCTACAAGACCTGGATCTGTCCCTGATCATGGGGTGTCCAGGCTGGAAGGAGAGCCTTTGGTTAGGGATGAGTGCAGTAGAGAGGATCTTTGAGGGGTGCACATCTTCAGGGTGTCTCTATGCCATGTGTGGTTTTGGAAACTCCATCTATTCCAAACGCCAAAAAGGTAGATTGAGTCTCAGGGAGCTGAACTCTGCCATGACTCTATTCCCAGCCATTTTTATTCTTCTGCACACGTGGAGAACTCAGGCCAACTGGTACGTGTGGGGAAGCAGAGATCCCCTGTCCTGTGATTCCAAATGTGGCTTGGACTGTGGCACAGAGGGTTGAAGACCGGGTTTTATAATAACAATACTAGTGAAATAATGGTGAGCACTTGTGCTAGGTGTCTGATGAAAAGGGACAGGTGCCTTGTGCCGTGGGCAAATCCTAAGGGAAAACGATGTGAGAGCACAGAATTTGTGGGGAAATAAAGGAGACCGGGTGGAGAAGGGCAGTTGAATTGACAGGCGGAAAGGAGAGGGAGGAAGAAAGGAAGTTCCTTGTCATGTCATGTGGGCAGGGGCTACTGTCAAGGACAAGAGGCCAGTGGAGCAAACCCGAGGACCTCTGGGTGTCTTGTCATACCCACTGGAAACCTGCAGTAGTGTCAGCTTCACATCTAATGATCAACTGACCTCGGGAAGAATGTGCCTCATTTTACCAAACCCACCTTTTTTTGGAACACATTTGGCTCTATGCTGTTTTGGCTGCTTACCTTAGAAATTCACCAAGTGTTTTCTTTTATGATTTTTTTTTTTTAAGCTCTAAGAGATCCTCGGTTTTACTCCTGCCCCATCTACAAGAAGCCGGTCCGAACAGACTTGAACTACATCGCCGATGTGGACCTCAGGACGGCCCAGGACCCTGACCACTGGGTGCTTCGTGGGGTCGCCCTTCTCTGTGATGTCAAGTAACATGGGGCCTGTCCCCCACCCAAGACTTCAGAAAATGCAGGATCCAAACTATCATAACCTTTATTCTTCTATGAGCGCTGAACAGTGTGTAAATTCCATTGCTCATAATTCATAAACTGCATAGATTTTCCCTAATCCTTAGTCCGATGCTCATTTATATTTAGCCTGTTTCACCATTAATGATCAATCACTGTGTTTGTTGAAAAGTCACTTGGTGATTTAAAAGTAAACTGTACAACTTCTAATGACATGTGGCCCCCAAATCCACAGTAGTACATTTTCTTCTTTACCCAACTCTAAAGACTGACCAGGTTAAGCAGACGATAGTTCCCTTCAAGAATTATTCTTTTGTTAATGTGTTTCTGGTGACAGCCCAGTTTGTAAAGACAACAAGTTTGTGCCGAGTTTGCTTTTATTGACTTTTTGCGTTTAGGTCAGGTTAAGAGATTTGTGTCCATGGCTCAAGCAGCCAATTAAAGAGACTTTTAAAAAAAATGGAAGGAAATAGGAGAATAGGATAAGAATGTGAATGGATGTATAGACAATTTGTGTTATCCTATAAACATAGAGAATAATGTTCAATCCCACTCATAATTAATAATGACATACTAATTAATATCTGTTGTAAGAAAAAAAATTAAAGCCAAAAGAAAATTGTGGTGAGGTCTTTGTAAAAATGATTCACTCACAGATTCCTAGAGCAATGTAAACCGACCCATCCTTTTTATAAAAAGATTAAATAAGCACAGAAAGAGCCATAAAAGGATTCACATGCTTTGATCCTTATTTTCTCTCTAGGAAATCTATATGTACCATGGAAACCATTTAAAAAGCTGAAGAGTTATATATAAAAATACATTTAGTAACAGAAAGAAACAAAGAAATGTTCTGAATGTCCAATAATAAGGCTCTGCTTAAGGAAGTTAGGAGATATTAGGCAGCCATGAAAATAATATTTAAATTTTACAATGTGGAAATGGTAAGCACATGCTATTAATTGAAAGTTATAGTTAATAAAATACTGCATACTGTGTATAACCATAAAATGTAATTGCATGTGCAGAAAGATGAGATGATAATATGGAAAAATAAAAACAGGTGTGATAACATGGTACCGGTTTCAGTGAACTTGAAAAAAATTTAATGAGTGGAAGAAAATATAGGGAAAGAAATAAAGGCTTAGGTGATTCATGGGGACTCACATGGGCTCTCATTAATTTAGAAAATACGATCTAAGGAACTTTTCCTATATTTTTATTTTAAATTCTAGTTAGAAAGTATAACCTGTTTCATCTATAATCTATTGACTAGAAAACTCGGTCAGTATTAAATTAGAATTGTGGTTTACAAATGTTTGGTTGACTTTAGATCAGCATAACTTGCTTCTGGTGATAAAAGGTTTCATAGGGAGGCAGGGTTACAAGGACACAGGTGTGGGTCTCTCTCACTAGGCTTTGCTGTGTGACAAGTATCACCTTATGCTAATTATGATGAAAATTTGGCCTGAGTGATTGACATGACTCACATTCATCTTGGATAATGCTGTTTTTATTTGAGCAGCTTCTGAATTAATATATCAGTTGATTTGTGTGGATTGAGGTAAGATCATTATTTTGAAGAACATGCAAGGAACACGTGAAAATGATGTCAATCAATAAAAAGTTGTTCAAGAATGTTCTTAATCGTGATTGCTATTTATCAGAAAGGGGATGGGCGCCATCGAATACCCAGAAATTAAGTTTTCAAAACGCGATTTTATATCAAATAACTTGAAAATGTGTACTTTATGTAATTTTGGGATATACCCCTGTTGGCATATATGTAATGAGTTTTGGAGACCCAAAGTAGAAAAGGACAACATGAAAATGACTAGAAATTTGTAGGAATGTTTCAGCAAGGAATGTCTGTGAAGCAGTGAAGAGCCAATGAGGGAGGCTTCACCTCCACCTCCAATGCCCCAGCTCCCACCCACTGAAGGGTGCTCTGTATTCTACTGACTCAGGGAGCAAGTGAGGACCCACTGATTGAAACTTCCAGCTGATGGAGAGAGCTCTGCTGGCTGCTTGGTATGCGAAAAATATTGTGAAGGTGGTGGTGCTACTGCAGAGTGATAGATCCGTCTTTTTCATCTGTCTATTGATTTATTAAAAATTATTGATTTTGCACCTGCTGTGTGTCAGACACTGATGCACTGGTGGGATGATGGTGGGAAAAAACTGTCACAGTCTCTGATTTCATGGAATTTACATAAGAGGAATAGACACAGAAAATAAGCAATTACTCAGGTATGTAATTTTATGTTATCTCAATTATGATTGTGTAACATCACACATGTGAGATATGTAGAGAAATATATAAAAATTGTGCATTAAGTGCTATGAAAGAAAATAATGGATGCTATGAGTGAGAAGAACAGAGGAACCTGTAGCATTTGGGGTGTGTTGAAGGTTAGCAGGCAGAAGCCACATACAGCATCCCCATTTATTTGTTTATTTTATTTTATTTTTTTGGGGGGGGGAACACAGACTGCAGAGGTTATTATATTTTGATTATTTTAAATAACTTAAAAAAATTTTATTGGGGAATCGGGGAAGGGAAACAAACAAGTTGCTGTTCTTTGGTTCTTCAGTCTAGTTGTGGAGGACATCGCTTCACTGGCCCATATTGGTATTGTGATCAATGCACTTTTCCTGGGTGAGGCAGTTGCTTGCTGGCCATTGGACGGCCGCTCACGGTGGCTCACGGCAGCTTACGAAAGCGCACGGCAGCTGCTGGCCAGCCCCACTGCAGCTTACGCTGTTGCTGGTGACTCATGGCAGCCCAGTGCCAGGTCGAGCTGTTGTTCACCATCTTAACTGTAGAGGGCGCAGTGTCACTGGCCCTCCTGTGGGATCCGAACCGGGGCCCTGCTGCTCAGAGCTGGCGTCCCAAGCCAATGCCTAACCAACGCGCCACTTGGCTAATAATTTTTTATTTTTCAATTACAGTTGACACCCAATAATATATTAGTTTCAGGTGTACAACATAGTGATTAGACATTTATAGAACTTATGAAGTGATCACTCCAATAAATTTATTACCCATGTGACACCATATATAGCTATTACAATATCATTGACTATAATCCTTATACTGTACTTCACATCCAAATGACTGTAACTACCAATTTGTACCTCTTAATCCCTTTCCCCCTTCACCCATCCTTTAAACCCCCCTCCCATCTGGCAACAATCAAAATGTTCTCTGTATCTATGAATTTATTTCTGTTTTGTTTATTTTGTTTTTTAGATTCTGCATAAGTAAAATTATATGGTATTTGTCTTTATCTGACTTATTTCACTCAGCATAATGCCCTCTAGGTTCATCCATGTTGTTGCAGATGGTAAAATTTCATTCTTTTTTATGGCCGAGTAATATTCCATTGTATAAATGTACTTTTTTATCCATTCATCTATTAATGACACTTAGGTTTCCATTATTTTGATTACTATAAATAATGCTGCAATAAACACATGGGTGCACACGTCTTTTCAAACTAGTGTTTCGGGTTTCTTCGGATAAGTACCTTGAAGTGGGATAACTGAATCCTTCTTTGCCTCTTGTTATAGCCTTTGTTTTAAAGTCTATTTTGTCTAGTATAAGTATTGCTACTCTAGCTTTTTTTGTTTGTTTCCATTTTCATGAGATATCTTTATCGATCCCTTTATTTTCAGTCTGTGTGTGTCTTTTGATCTGAAGTGAGTTCCTTGTAGGCAGCATATGTAAGGGTTTTGTTTTCTTATCTATTAAGGCCCCCCCATGTATTTTGATTAGAGCATTTAATCCATTTACACTGAAATTAATTATTGATAGATACTGTATTTTGCCAGGTGTAATGAGCTCACGTGTATAATGCACACCCATGTTTTTAGCCCAAACTTTCAGGAAAAAAAATCTTTCATTTTAATTATCTAATTCAAATTTTTATTTGTTTATATTTAGGTACTTGTGTTTTGTATTATAAAGGCATTTTGCATTTATTTCTTAACATATTATGGTACAAGAAATTTTTTGTACAATAACACATTTACAATATTTACACATCATAGAAGGACAAGAACTCTTCATTGTTGCAAGTTCATTGTAAGTTCAAAAAAACCGATTATAGTATTCCAGGGTATTATTTTGCATATTGATATCATTGATTTCTAGAGTTACACTTTTAACTCATAAGCATAAATAAAAGAATTAAAAACATTTATATATATATGGAATTAGTACCATCCATGTATAATGCCCATCCTTATTTTTCCCTCATAAATTTGGGCAAAAAAGTGCACATTATATACGGCAAAATATGGTATGTAGTTATTGCCATTTTATTATGCATATATTTTATCTTTCTTCTGCTTAAAGAAGTCCCTTTAACATTTCTTCTAATACTGCTCTGGTGGTAAGAAATCCTTTGGCTTTTTATTCTCTTTATCTGTCCCTCAATTGTAAATGATAAACTTTGATGGGTAATCTTGGTTGTAGGTCCTTGCTGTTCATCACTTTGAATACTTCCTGCCAATCCCTCCAGGCCTGCAAAGTTTCTGTTGAGAAATCAGCTGACAGTCTTAAGAGAGCTTAGTAGAGTGGCCTTATGTAGTAAGTGCTCTGTGAGGCCCAATGGTGTAGTCTTCTTGGTCATCTGAGCCAGGTGATCCAGGTGTGTCCATTTTATGGTTTGTGTGTGCCCTCCTGTTGTAGTTGAGCCTTGGTTGCAGTTGGCATTGTTAATGGGAGGGATTGACTCTCAGGCTGATTGGTTGTGAGGACTGGCTGTGACTACAATGGAGGAGCTGTTGTGCAGGGGCTGACCCTATGGAGCAGGGTTCACTTTAGCAGGGCTCTGGTGCCTGCCCAGCCTTCCCTTTGGGGGTGTCATTTGTGGAGGTGATTGGGTCTTGGTCTAGCATGGTCTGAAGCTGGCCACTTGATGTATTGGTTCTGCATCTTCTTGAGTGGGAGGGCTCAATGCAGGCCAAGGTCAGCTGCTGCCTGTGCCCTTCCTAGGGTCACTTAGTATGACTTACAAAGTCATCTGCAGATTGTTGCCACTTGTGCAGGGCTTGGAGGTGCCTGGGAGAAGCTAAGGTGCAAATTGAGGCCAGCTGCCACTGTTGCCAGGCTTGGGGCTACTTAGCAAGAGGTATGGGACACATTGAGACCAGATGTTGCTTGTTTGGGGTTTGTGAACCTGTGAGAGATTTTAGGAAAATACATAGCATGAGCCAAGACAGGCCATTTGTGTTGAAAAGCCATTGAAAGCAGCTTGGATGGGTCTGCAAATGGGTGGGGGCGGGGTCTCAGGTAATCATCAGGGCGGGGCAAACAATGTTAGCCAGGTTGCTGGAGACTCAGATGTGGCGCCTGAAGGCTGGGTTAGGAGAGGGCTCAGCAAAGGAACAATGGCCTCTGTCATCTCTTCTGTCTGGGACTCCAGGTCTCACCCTGCGGCCAGACAATTCAGTTCCCTGAACCTGGTGCCTTTTGAGCTGCTGTCCCAGTGCTGGTACTCAGAGCAAGTGACACCATCAGTGGGTAAGTCCATGTGAGGGCCCTTTAAGAGGAGTGCCTAAGATCTCAGCCACCCTCCATCTCACTCAGCCTCAATCTCCACTGGTTTTCACAGCCAGAGATTATGAAGACTTCTCTTCCCGTTACTGGAACCCCGGGCTGGGGAGCCTGGAGTGGGGCTGTGACCCCTTGCTCCTCATGGGGGAACCTTCACAGCTGAGATATCCCTCCTGATTTTCAATGGTCACACGTGGGTGTGGGACAGCTTGTTCTGAGTTTCTGCCCCTCCTACAAGTCTCAACGTGGCTTCTTCTGCATGTCCTTGGTTGTAGGGCTTTTCAGTTAGACTTCAGACGATTCTCAATGATGGTTCTTCTGTAATTTAGTTGTAATTTTGATGTGGTCATGTCAGGAGGTGAGCACAGCATTTACTTACTCTGCCATCTTGACCAGAACCTCAATTATATTTTGGTTTGAATCCTGCCCCAGGGCCCAGTGCAGGGGCAGCTGATGGAACAGTGCCCAGCCTTTCTGTGAAAGGAGGCTAATTCACTTAATGTATTGGCCTGAGGGGCAGGCATCTAATTTCACACACACCTAGCATGAAAGCCCCTTTGGTGATGTGGGCAGGTGGGCTCCATCTTCCCGCTTTTCCCCATTTATTTTTAACTAAGGACACAGAGTATAACAGCAGTTAGGAGCTCCCCTGAGCTGGAGTAGCTACTGCACGTTCTTGCTTGGCTTTTACTGGTCCTCTGGCTTCCCTATGCAGCTCACAGTGACCAGTGAGCCTCTCTATACAAGTAGGGTCCTTCCAGAATTGAAATAAAGTTAAAATTTTGCCGTAGTAAGAACTGCCGCATGTGGGTGTGGGACCAGACTATTCCTCATCTACTTGAAACGCAGATGCTTGGGGCTGACATCTCCATTCCACAGCTACTTGCCTCAGTCTTCTGTGAGCCTCCCTGAAGGAAATGTTGGCAAACATTGAACCAACTCAGCATCCATAAGGCCATTAAAAGTCACAGAGCTATGGCCCAAGGGTTTTGGGACAATATCTACTATGGGCACTCTTTCCCTGGAGAGACCTAATTTGACTGGGCCATAAGGACAGGTAGCTCTGTGGAGGTGATGTCTACATTTAGATATGAAGGAGAAAGGGAAAACATCTCGGACCCATATGTATTGAGGACTTACCTCCTGCTCCCTAAAGGGAGGAGGGGTGAGCATGGTGCCTAAAGGAGGACTTACAGGAAACCTGGCCTGGAGGGGAGGGCTGAGGAGTGCTGCTTTCTAAATACAATTTCAAACCTTGTTATGACTGTTGCCAACCACAGAATAGTGGCTGATTGAAAGCATATGTTTGTAAGTCATTGGAGCGAGAAGTACTTCTTTGTGTAAAATGCTATTTGCAATGGAAAAATCTTTTTGTAAAGAATTCAACATTAAGAGACATGATGAGCAAACCACAGATTTTACTGTTAAGTAGCTTGCAGGATTCTCCAGTACAGATAAAGTATATGGCATCAACAATGCATCAATGATAAAGTTTTGTTTAAAGATGAGGCATTATGGAAAAATAGAATATGTTAATGCACACTGACAGTGTAGTTTATAAAATTTTTGCAACACAAAATGTTTAGTAATGATAAAAATGTTATATGTATGTACAAGCAATTTCCTCTTAAAGATATAATATCCCCCACCACCCAAATTTGTAGCACACCTTTTTTTTTTTTCCTTTATCAAGCCCTGATGAGGTACATAATTGCTGTTACATTTTAAATGCTGTTCT